GTCTTCGGGCACTGAGCGGTAGACAATCTGAAATGATTCGCCAAAGGTGTACTTACTGATTTTGCATAACTCATGCTGAACCTGTCCAACACCTTCTCAACATAGCTATGCTGAGATAGCCATAATCTCCTGGAAGCTCTGTCCCTGCGAATCTCCATCCCAAGAATCTTCTTGGCCGCACCCAAATCCTTCATGTCAAATTCTCTACTCAACAAAGTCTTCAACTTGTTGACCTCACTCATACTCTTGGCAGCAATCAACATATCATCCACATAAAGTAACAGAAAAATAAATGAATCATCATCAAGCCTTTTTACATAGACACAACAATCATACTCACACCTTTTGTAGCCAATTCGGATCATGTAAGAGTCAAATCGTTTGTACCACTGCCTCGGAGACTGCTTCAGCCCATAAAGTGATTTCTTCAAATTACAGACCAAATGTTCCTCTCCAGGGAGACTGAACCCTTCTGGCTGTACCATGTAAATCCGTTCCTCCAAGTCGCCATGAAGGAAAGCTGTCTTTACATCCATCTGCTCCAACTGCATATCTGAATGTGCTACTAGTGCCAACACTGTCCTGATGGAAGTGTGTCTGACCACGGGGGAGAAGATCTCATCATAGTCAACCCCTTTTCTCTGTGAGTAACCCTTTGCTACTAGACGAGCCTTGAATTTTTCTCCCTCATTTTCTGATACTGCTTCTTTCTTCTTATACACCCATTTGCATCCTATTGCTCTCTTCCCCTCGGGAAGTTCCACCAATTCCCACGTCTGGTTCTTATGCAGAGACTCCATCTCCTCCACCATAGCACCCATCCATCTACTTTTCTCTTGGCTTTGTACTGCCTCCTGAAAAGTTGTAGGATCCCCGCTACTAGTAATAAGCGCATAAGAAACCAAATCTTCAAAACCATACCTGGTAGGTGGCTTGATATTGCGTTTGGGCCTGTCTGTGGCTATACTATGATGTTGTTGATCACCTGAGATAGAACGCTCTACATGCTGAGCATCCTCTTCTTTACCATGATTCTCTAGCTCCACCTGCACCACATGGTCATTAGTGCTACAGTTTTCTGGTACTTGTTTCTCTTCTTCCTGAGTACGCTGCAACATGGCTTTTTCATCAAAAACCACATCTCTACTGATCACCATCTTGTTTGCCTTCGGATCCCAGAGCTTGAAGCCTTTCACTCCTTTCTGATATCCCAGAAAGATACACTGTCTAGACTTCGCATCAAGCTTCGACCTCTCCTCACTAGAAACATGTACATAGGCTGGACATCCAAACACTCTCAAACCAGAGTAGTCTACCTCACTGTCTGTCCACACCTTCTCTGATACTTTCCCATCTAGTGCTGCCCTCGGTGATCTGTTAATCAAGAAACATGCCATATTCACTGCCTCTGCCCAGAAATTCTTTGCAAGCCCTGCATTCAACCTGAGACACCGAGCTTTCTCGGCTATCGTTCTGTTCATCCTTTCCGCTACACCATTTTGTTGTGGTGTCTTGCGGACTGTGAAGTGTCTCTTGATCCCATGCTGCTCACACAACTCCTGGAACTTTGAATCTGTGTACTCAGTACCATTATCTGACCTGAGGCATTTAATCTTCCTCCCTGTCTGGTTCTCTACTTCAGCTTTCCACAGCTTGAACTTGGCAAACGCTTCTGACTTGTGCCGCATGAAGTACACCCAGACCTTTCGTGAGTAATCATCAATGAAACTCACGAAATACATGTATCCTCCCCGTGATAGTACGCTAACTGGTCCCCAAACATCTGTATGGACATAGTCGAGAACCCCCTCTGTCTTGTGTGTGGCTGTCTTGAACTGCACCCTATTCTGTTTTCCAAAAACACAATATTTGCAAAAATTGAGCTTGCATGTCTTGACACCCTTCAATAGATTTTTCTTATGAAGCTCTATCATCCCACGCTCACTCATATGACCCAACCGCATATGCCACAAGGCTGTATTATCTGATTCAGACCCTACAGCAGCAACTCTACCTACAATTGTAGTACCCAGCAGTCTGTAAATGTTTCCTACTACTTTCTGTCCCTTCATCACTGTCAGCATGCCTTTACTTACTTTCATTACTCCACTTATAGATTTGTAACTATAACCATTACAATCCAAAGTGCCCAATGAAATCAAATTCTTCCTTAGATCCGGTACATGTCTAACATCACACAACGTTCTAACCATACCATCAAACATCTTAATTCTAATATTTCCTATTCCAACAACTTTGCAAGATGCATCATTACCCATCAGAACAGAACCAGAATTTACTGACCTGTAGGTGTCAAACCAATCTTTGTTGGGTGTCATGTGATAGGAACATGCTGAATCCATAATCCAAGAATCTGTTAAACGATCTGAACTAGATAAAACAGAAAGCATATCTCCGTCACCACTCTCTGAATCTTCTTCTTCCACTACGTTTGCAGACTTTGATGCACCCTCTTTGTTCTCTGAATCCCCTTTCTTTTTCTCTGGACAGTCCCGTTTAAAGTGCCCCTTTTTCCCGCACTTGTAACACGAGACAGAGACGTCCTTCTTCTTCTTCCTCGACTTGGACCGGGCTTTATTGTTACCCGATCCATTCCGAGATTTGCTTCTTCCACGTTCCTGGTTACCTTTCACCACAAGCCCTTCACCTTGTGAAGCCTCATCACTGGCTTTCTTCCGCTGATGAAAACCTAACAGAGCACCTGTGACATCCTCCAATTCGAGGGTTTCTTTCCCCCACATCAGAGTCGTAACCAAATTCTCGTACGTAGGAGACGCCGGTAAGGAATTCAGCAACATCAGCGCCTTGTCTTCGTCTTCGAACTTCACATCAACTCGCTTCAGATCGCTGATGATCTGATTGAACACGTTGATGTGTTGGGTCAAATCCGAGCCCTCTGACATCTTAAGACCATATAGTTTCTGCTTAAGATAGAGCTTGTTCGTCAACGACTTGGACATATACCGACTTTCCAGTTTCAACCAAACTTCCGCCGGTGATTCCTCATCCATGACGTGATACATCACTTCATCAGCCAGACAAAGCCTAATAGTCGCCACAGCCTTCGCTTCCAATTCTTTCCAATCCATGTCGTCCATTCCTGCCGGTTGTTTTCCGTATAATGCCTTCACCATGCCCTGCTGCACTAACAGGTCCTTCACCCTCCTCTGCCATAATCCGAAATTCCCAGTTCCGTCGAACTTCATGATGTCGAATTTTGTAGAGGAAATCCCAGACATCGTAGTCTAGCTCTGATACCAATTGTTGTGATCGTGCAGCAATTATGGTGAATAGTAAGGAATCAAACAATTAAGAAAGCAGGAGAAAATAACACACAGAGATTTACGTGGTTCGGCAATGTGCCTACATCCACGAGAGCGAGCGGCCGTTCTTTTCCATTATAGAATAGGGTTACATCTTAAGTATTTATATAACCCTAATATGGACGTATTTACAAAAATACCCCTGTACCGTACCGCGGGGGCGTTGCCCCCGCACCCCCAACTAATCAGCGTCCCCTTTATATAAATCCCACAAGGCAGATGCCGTCGCGGGCTCCGCCCGCTCCAGCATCTGCCTCCTTGCCATTATGCACACAGCAAATATGAGCCACACATACTCTAACAGAGTTGAAGTGTTACTCTATCTTTTGATGACTTTTTATCTTGTCTGTATTGCATTTTGGTGTTGGGTAAAACAGAACTTTGTGATATGATTGTTGCAACTTGTTTCATATTCACTATTGACCAAATTTTTAATTTAAAACCATATGCTGCTGAAGGGAAAATGAGAAAATATAGGACATATCTATTATGTGGGATAGTTATCTTCTTGGTGATGGCATAATATGGGGTGGTTGTCTGCTGTTTTTATTACGCTTTAACTGAAAGATTTTGAGCTATTTTTCAATCTGGGAAAGATGAATGTTCAGCTGTAATGTCGATTCATGTCATGGTTGAACCTGATATTTATTCTTATCTTCCTACTCCTTAGGCCAAAATTATGTTTTCTCCACTCATAAACCATTTCATGTTCCAAGACCAATAATCAAATGTAATCAGAAAGCAACGGAAAAATCATGAACATGCCAGAAAATCTTATTGCAGTTCAGTAGTGTGCCCATGTAAATGGGGCAGAAGTTATACTTGCAGAAACCTCCTTGATACCCAACAGTTGTAACACAACCCGGTTTTATTGTTGCAAGGATTACATAGATGCAGACAAATTTGTGAAGTAAATGATAATAGTCTCAAAATTAGATAATATAACTCCCTCCAACACTGAGCCAGACTAACGAGGGTAGGAGGCTGTGTAGATCAATTACCTCGGGTAATCATGATAGTTGACCACATATATTTCCCTTCATCAATTCTGACAGTCCTGTGTAGCAAACTTCTTTGGTACTGGTTTTCTTTAAGATGGCTTATTAGTTATTTATCATGGTTTCTACAAATTATTATTTGAAATATCTTTGGATTCTATGACTCTATTTGGTTTGCGTCTCAAAAAATAGTATCTGAAAACAATTTTTGGAATGAGTATTAGAAAACCATTTTTAGTGTTTTTTGTGTCGCAAAACTTGTTTAGTTATGCGATTCCAATATAAGTTCTACGGAATAGAAAACACTAAAATTTGTTTGGACAGTAACTCAAAAAATAATGAAAACAGAAATGTGGTGGTGATGGTGATGGTGGTGGTGGTGGAAGTGTGGTGGTAGTGGTTGTGTTGGTGGAAGGGTGGTGAAAGTGTGGTGGTGATGATAGTGGTGGTGGCGGTGGTGTGGTGGACGTGGTGTTGATGGTGGTGGGGGTGGGGGTAGTGGTGATGATGGGAGTGTGATGGTGATGGTGGTGGATTTTTTTAAATTCTGGAAAGGTTGTTTCCAGAAATACATAAAATATTTCTAACTTGTTCTCTAAAATCTACTAAATTTTTGTTCTTAGTTTTCAAAAAACAAAAACAAAAAACAATTTCTAAGATGCAAACCGTATTTCTCGAGGAATGCTTCAAACTTTCTTTCTTTTCTGAGTTAGCAATTTCTGGCATGCAAACAATAGGCAAGGGTCAAGGTGCGCTGAGATGCTAATATGTGGTTTCATGTGTCAAGATTTATGTGCGCGATGATCATAAATATTTAAAGCTAATGTTGCTTTTACATGCTGCATGAACAGGGGTCTCACCTGGGGAAGGCACCGGTGCAACAATGTCGGATGATGACGATGACCAGGTAGATAGTAATGCTAACTTGTTTGATGGAAGTTTAGAGGGTCCTGACAGCATGGGATTTGGTCCTCTCGTCCCGACAGAGAGTGAGAGAACCTTGATGGAGCGTGTCAGGCAAGAGCTGAAGCATGAGCTGAAGCAGGTGAGAGATAAAACATTTGGTTTCAATGTCTTATATCTGTGTCTGAAGTATCAACTAAAACTCTTTTATTTCTCCCTTTCTGAAGGGTTACAAGGAGAAAATTGTGGACATTAGGGAGGAAATTTTACGCAAGAGAAGAGCAGGAAAACTTCCAGGTGATACCACGTCCATCTTAAAAGCTTGGTGGCAATCACATGCCAAGTGGCCGTACCCAACTGTAAGTGCTGGCCTATCACTTCTTTTCATTGGTTGACAAACCACCAAAAGGGGGTCCTTGTGGACTAGTTTTGGTTTTGGTATTGTAAAGCACTTCTAGCTATATGCACGGTGCAAAATACCTTTTTTATGGCCGAGTTGTGCTCAAATTTTGCCACAAGTCTGCTCTCATGTAGCATCTTCAGTAGACAAGTGGGCAATGTTCTTGAAGCTCATGATAAGCTCAGACAATTGCATCCAACACACTTTTCCTGTGCAGCTCTTAAATCACTGTTGTTAATGTGTACCTTTTCCAGGAGGAAGATAAGGCGAAGTTGGTACAGGAAACAGGCTTGCAGTTAAAGCAGATAAATAATTGGTTCATCAATCAGAGGAAGAGGAACTGGCACAGTAATCCTTCCTCTTCTACAGTCTTGAAGAGCAAACGCAAAAGGTACATGATTTCAGCATACAACTTTGTTATTTTATTATATCTTTTCATGGGCTTTCCACCAACTCTTACTTTGAAAAAGAAGTAATGCAGGTGAAAACAGTGGTGATCATTTTGTGTAGAAATGGTGGGATAGGCCAGATGACAAACTTCCCATGTGATCTCTGTTCAGGCTTCCACTTTGATTATACATTGCGCATCAGTTCACATGCTACTAATACATAGAAATATGGTGGTATAGGATTGCCTTAAAAAACTCTGGAGTTCAGCTGAATAATCAAATATCTTGCTTCTATGGATAGAAGGGCTAACCTTGTGGATGAAACGATGGTATAGAATTCAATTTGTGACCTTGAACAGGTATGCCAGAAGACTGTAGAAGGCATGTATATCAGGTGATGCCATGTTGTTAGAAAGTTCAATGTAAGCATATGTAAAGAAACCTGAGGTGAATCGTTCCCTCTGCGATGGTGGATTCATAAATTTTTTGTTATTTGTGAATACAATAGGAATAAGGTGTGGGTGTACAGTGTAATAATTTGGTGCATGGTTCCCGACAATACTTGTCTATAGTTCCTTTTGCTATTGTGCTTTAGTGTTTTAATGTTAGACTTGTTTCAGATATGGGAATACAAGGTTTTTTCTATCTCTACTCAGTTGCATATGGATGGCTAGCTCCTCATGGATCTTCTTTTTTTTGGAGACATGGTTACAGGTGTAGAGTATGCTATTTCTTTCTAATTATTAATTTGTAGTTTTGTGAACTTTCATGGTTAGTGCAGGCATATTTGCAAATATTTTCGAGGCTGCCTACTGGGAAAACTTTTAAGATTGCATTTAGCAAATATTGTTTTGGCCCCCTTGACTATGTCCTTGTCTCATATTGTACTTCCTCGAGATATGGTTATTAATTTCACATTGCATTAATTTTGGCTTCTTGTCACAAAATAATAAAAAGTAATATTATTTTGTTGAATTTGTTTCATTTTGGCCCAAAATTAAATAATATTTGGAATTTTTTATCCGAGACAAAATGGTCGGCTTGTTTAGGGTAATGTGAAACCAATTTAAGTGGAGGGGATAGTGTGAGATATTCAATGACAAAGTTTGAAGTGGTATCAGGGCTCTAGTTTAAGGTACAAAGTGTAATTTGTCAATTGGAACTTCAACTGTATTGGTTGTGTATAGTTTGATTCTTAAAGTAAAGTTAAAAGTGAAATAAAAGTGTAATTTGCTCATAATTTGTGGTTGATTTAGTATAGATCAAACTTCTAATCTAAAATTTGCTCCAAATCAATTGGGTCTACTGATTCAAATGACTTCTACCAAGCTTTTAATAAGTTGTGTCAAGCATTTAAATGTTAAACACCAAGCATTACTTGATGCACCTTGGGACACCTCTTGATTGGTCCAAGTAAGTAAGGGTCATACATTTAGTTAGTATTCAAATGATTCAGTCAAAGGCCCCACGTGGATGTGACTGTGTGCAACTAATCATTTCCTACTACCTGTAATGTTAGTGGAACCTCATGCTGGATCACCATTATTGTTTGGACCCGGGACAAGACGTCCCCCGAGGGTCCTGCAAGTAGTCGTAATGGAGTTTGGGAGGGCTTGATTTGATGGGTTTGCTTCGATCTAGTCTGCAGCGGGGGTGGGGGAAGGGGGGTTGATATTCTTGGTGGGACCTATCCTAGTACATGTGTCTTTCAATGATAGGCATGCTGATTCACGTTTTGTTAGTAGCCCCCAGCCTTCAAGTTGCTCTGGACGTGGGCCATGTGGCATGAGGAAATTGAAGACTTTCTTTGCATGCGACTTCTTGGGAGTCATTATGCCGATGTTTTGTTGCCCTTTTTTCAATTGGCATTAAATGTACCATTTTGCTTAGTAACCAATGTCATGGTGAGAGTATAAATAGTATAGGGGATCATTAGTTATGAGGGACATGGCGCCCCAAAGAGCCATGTGAGCCCGAGCATTCTTTGTTGCAGAAGACAGAGACTGAACACGATTTTTTTAGTAAGTACGTTCAATTTGTCATCTCTTTTCTATCTTTTTGTTTACCCACCAATGGCTAGGAAATAGACCAGAAAGACCGAGAATAGAGAAGAGGCCTAAAAAAATAAACCTAGGAAGACCCAGGTAGTTGACACCACGTGTGTGGCTAATTTTAGGGCCAAATACTATATTTTGGCCAATATATATATAATTTTTTTTTAATTTACAATTCGGATTGATTTAGTGCTACCTAGGGGGCCCTTGACCTCATGCCCTTCTACACCAAGTTCATAATAGAGGGGGGTATCAGGTTCCCCTTACCCCTTTGCTGCTTAGGTTCTTGATGCATTTTAGGTTGTTTCTGAGTTTGTGTTGTGTGAACCTGTTTAGGATAGTTATGAGAGTTGTAGCCTTGAACTCCTTGCTCAGAGTTAACTTAGGAGTAGGTGAAATTCTTTTCTGCTATGATATGATATTGACCTCGAGCAAAAAAGTATTACCTCAAGGCCTAGGGGCCATCCATGTACTTGGTGACCCACATGCCTGACTTTCGACAAGGGATACATGCAAGACATCATCATGGTGGGCGATCGATGTAAAAGAGCCACTGGATGCTAGTACAATGGTCTTTTTTGTCCCAAGTAACATTCTTGGCGAAGAGGTCAAGCATCGCCATAACGCCCCCCTGCCCCGCAGACTCAACATGTTCCTCTTTTGCCAAGCACCATTTTACTGCTAACACCTTAGCAATCGGAGGATCGGGCTTCGAAATGGAATCCAAGGGTCCACACCTAAAGGGACAAGGTGGTCATGACTTCTGTCTCCATCATCTAGTCCCACAATGTTGCCTTCGTAGTTAGTGGGGCCCTTAATTTTGAGGCTAACATGGCCATTGGTGACCGCTTTTGGGATTATTGCTTGGCAAATGAGAAGGCCCAGGCTGATATTGAAAGCCTCAAGAAAAAAGTACAGAAACGTGAGAGGACCATCGGGAACCAAGCATTCGAGGTGTCCAACGTTTTGAAGTAAAAGCAAAGCCATTTGGCAGAGTTGGAAAGAAGCAAAAAGGCCAAGACAAGAATGGTTGAGGCCTAGTTGAAGGTGTCTATTGTCGATTCCAAATTAGTAGAGGCTGAGAAGAACTATGCCACGTTGACTGAAGAGGTCGATAAAATGACGGAGTTCCTGGCAAATTCCAGGAATAAGGAGAGCGAGATTCATTGGGAGGTGTTCTTCCAGTGTTAACGGGATGCGCTGATGGTGTTTGTTGATGCTCAGAACAAGTTCTTCAAGGATAGATAGGATGTCGCGCTCCACGCTGCTAGGGTTAGCCTTGAATTAGAGCTCTTCCTTAAGCATGCTTTCATGTCAACTCCACTATTTGACGACGAAGAGAGCAAAATTGAAGGCGACGATAACTTTGCAAGGGAAGAACCTCTCTTGGCCGTTATCCTAATAAGCGATGGGGATTAAATGGAGCGTGACGAGCCTTCCCCTCTTAAGTGGTGTTGTTCGATATGCCCATATGATGTTTAATATTTCCTTGGTCCATTTTCCCTTGACCTTTTCCAACCACTTCTTGATCCCGGCGAGAATAGTCTTGTTGGAGACCTTGGCTTGCCCGTTGCACTGAGGGTAGGTCAGGGATGAGTAGAAATTTTGAATTCCGAAGCCCTCACAGAACTACTTGAAGGGGCCGCTATTGAATTGGGTGTCGTTGTCTAACACGAGAGCTCGAGGTATGCTGAACCATGTTATGATAATTTCCATACAAATTTATTGTTGTTAGTGTCTTAGATGTGGCTTAGGGGCTCGGCTTCCATCCACTTAGTGCAGTAATTAGCACCCATCAATGAAAACTTTTTATTTGGGGACTATGTCTGGCCTCCATTGGGCAAAGGGCCAGAGATTTGTGAGGGGGTTAAGATCTCCAATTGGTTGTCAAATAATGGGGTGAATTTCTAACACTTTGCACATTTATGATCGCATATTTAGAGATTACTAAGTATAGGTAGAAATTCTCCTCGGACATTTGCACTGAGGGTTTACGACACTACTCCATTTGCTCTTTGTTTCCCTACATTGCTTGGTTGCACATGTCNGCCCCCTGCCCCGCAGACTCAACATGTTCCTCTTTTGCCAAGCACCATTTTACTGCTAACACCTTAGCAATCGGAGGATCGGGCTTCGAAATGGAATCCAAGGGTCCACACCTAAAGGGACAAGGTGGTCATGACTTCTGTCTCCATCATCTAGTCCCACAATGTTGCCTTCGTAGTTAGTGGGGCCCTTAATTTTGAGGCTAACATGGCCATTGGTGACCGCTTTTGGGATTATTGCTTGGCAAATGAGAAGGCCCAGGCTGATATTGAAAGCCTCAAGAAAAAAGTACAGAAACGTGAGAGGACCATCGGGAACCAAGCATTCGAGGTGTCCAACGTTTTGAAGTAAAAGCAAAGCCATTTGGCAGAGTTGGAAAGAAGCAAAAAGGCCAAGACAAGAATGGTTGAGGCCTAGTTGAAGGTGTCTATTGTCGATTCCAAATTAGTAGAGGCTGAGAAGAACTATGCCACGTTGACTGAAGAGGTCGATAAAATGACGGAGTTCCTGGCAAATTCCAGGAATAAGGAGAGCGAGATTCATTGGGAGGTGTTCTTCCAGTGTTAACGGGATGCGCTGATGGTGTTTGTTGATGCTCAGAACAAGTTCTTCAAGGATAGATAGGATGTCGCGCTCCACGCTGCTAGGGTTAGCCTTGAATTAGAGCTCTTCCTTAAGCATGCTTTCATGTCAACTCCACTATTTGACGACGAAGAGAGCAAAATTGAAGGCGACGATAACTTTGCAAGGGAAGAACCTCTCTTGGCCGTTATCCTAATAAGCGATGGGGATTAAATGGAGCGTGACGAGCCTTCCCCTCTTAAGTGGTGTTGTTCGATATGCCCATATGATGTTTAATATTTCCTTGGTCCATTTTCCCTTGACCTTTTCCAACCACTTCTTGATCCCGGCGAGAATAGTCTTGTTGGAGACCTTGGCTTGCCCGTTGCACTGAGGGTAGGTCAGGGATGAGTAGAAATTTTGAATTCCGAAGCCCTCACAGAACTACTTGAAGGGGCCGCTATTGAATTGGGTGTCGTTGTCTAACACGAGAGCTCGAGGTATGCTGAACCATGTTATGATAATTTCCATACAAATTTATTGTTGTTAGTGTCTTAGATGTGGCTTAGGGGCTCGGCTTCCATCCACTTAGTGCAGTAATTAGCACCCATCAATGAAAACTTTTTATTTGGGGACTATGTCTGGCCTCCATTGGGCAAAGGGCCAGAGATTTGTGAGGGGGTTAAGATCTCCAATTGGTTGTCAAATAATGGGGTGAATTTCTAACACTTTGCACATTTATGATCGCATATTTAGAGATTACTAAGTATAGGTAGAAATTCTCCTCGGACATTTGCACTGAGGGTTTACGACACTACTCCATTTGCTCTTTGTTTCCCTACATTGCTTGGTTGCACATGTCATCCTATACGTCTTGTTATCGTAGGACAAGGTAGTTCCAACATCCTTCAACCGTTTGCTACTAGTGATGAACTAGGTGATGAATGTCTTGGTCGTTTGTTTCCAAGACCCAATGCTCTTGGGCTAGAGGCTCTCATACGACTTCATGGTGGTATCCTTGAGACTCATTGGAAAAACCCTACACCAAAGTTTGTGATTTATGTTGTAGAGGGACATTAGCTACTTGTATTATCAAAGGTGTCCCTTAGGGTTAGTTCTCCTATCATACACTTTGAACTAGAGAACAATGAACGTGCTCGGCATCTCAGCCTCCCTGAATGCTTTGGATGAATGGGCTTTTAAAGAGCTCATCCTCAGCGGACTCATCCCTTTCCTTGTCCTAATGGTACCCTTGCCTTTAAGAATTGAGATGAGTATGTAAAACATCGGCATAATGCTGGTTGATGCCGCCAATGGGGGCTCTAAGCTTGGGGTTGTTATAGATCTCACCATCTTTCATTTAGAGGGAGGACACTTCCTCAGAGTTCTCCCTCTCAAGGTCACGAGACGGCCATCTGTAGGAGGTCACCATTGGCCAGGGGTTTACCTCAGGCGGTGGCAAAGGTCCTCGAGACAGGTCTTCATGTGTACTCTCTTAGGAGTGAGGTTTTTTAGTGTTAGGGCTGGCATTTCCTTTGCCGTGTCAGCTAGCGCGTTGGGGGTTCTGGTCAAATGCTTGAACTCATCGAGTCTGGTTAGAATGTTAACTTTGCCATATTCAATATTTTTGGTTGGTTGCTAAGTCAATCTTCAATTAGATACACAAACTTGTGGGTGAGGAGTCTTTCCCCTTGCCTGCCTAGTGCACTCTGTGCATTTTTGGGAGTCACGACAAGTGATTTCAAACTTCTCAATGGACTTGGACGGAAACTATGTTCTTTTTTCCCAAACATCTAGATGGATTGAGCTTGAGATTCCTGAAACAATGAAGGAGGTTAGGAAGGGGTAAGATGTGTACCTTTTGTATCCCCTCCGATGCCTATTTCAGTAGGTGCTCAAGTGAGAGGATATGAGTACTACTATATAATTTGAGTTCCGTGTGTGTTCCTGAGACCCAATCCTTTGGGCTATTTATACCTTGAGAGATGATGTTGTGGATTCTAGAGGGTTACATCAAGTCGATCAGTCTGACACCTGTAAGGTTGACATGTTAGTGGCTACCCCTCATCCTTGAGCTGCGAATCAATCACTCGGTGTCAAACGTCACAATGATTACCTCACTCAGGAGATCGAGCATTTAATTAGCATTGTTCGGACATTTAATAACATCTACCAAACACTTAATGAGCTATATCGAGCATTAAATGCATAACACTGAGCATTAACTAGCACACCCAAGGACACCTTCCAACTGGTTCGAGTATGCAAGGGCCATGCTTCTAGTCAATATTTGTGGGATTCAGTAAGGGTCCCCACGTGGATGTGACGGTGCAACTAATTATTTCCTGCTATCCGTCATGTCAGTAGGCCCTCATGTTAGATCACTGTTATAGTTTGCGCCTGGGGCAAGACATCCCCGAGGTATTGTAAGTAGTTTTAAGGGAGTTCAAGGGAGCTTAGTTTGACAGGTCTACCACGATCTAGTTCGCCTAGGGGGGATTGAATATTTTAGGTGGGACCCATCCCTGTCTACTACAACTTTAGAATTATTCACCAAAGCTTAGGTTGTCATGAAATAATATAATCTCGGGAGGCCGATGTCATACCATAGGGAATTGGTAAAAAACTCAGAACACAAAAAAATTAAAATAAAATTGCTTTTGAAAGTAGTTTGATAATGTTGAATTCAAAAAATAGTAAATTTAGGATTTTAAAATTGTCATTTGAATACTAAAGTATTAGGGATGTTCTTCCAACTCCACATAATATTTTTTTTGATCTGATTTTTAAACTCAATCAAGAATCAATTGAATAGTGATCTTAAATGGAAGATTTAACAATAATAATAAGGAAAACAAATTCAAAAGTATAATTAACAAATTATTCATATAAAAATTAGATTTAGATTGCAGATCTTAAGAATTCACCGTGCCTAGAATCAACGATAAATCAAGATCCCTAAGAAAGAACCCTATTTTAATCATAAAAAATAAAATCAATTATTTTATATGAAAATTCTAATTAATTAACCCAAACATGAAAATCTAGTTATTTAACTTGCTTGGAATCCCAAGTATTTAATGTACATGGTACAAAAGATTTTATAGAGTAAAAACTTTACAATTGAAATGAAGAATCATGCATTAAAGAACAACATATCAAAAATAAATATCATCTATTGCTGAAAAAATCACCCCTAGCTTTTGTTGACTCAACTATTTTATATAAATACCATTTAAACATAGTCAACTATGGTCTGATCAAGCCTTCCTTCTCTAACTACCAACTAATTAACTACATGCTTTGATCGGTAGACAATGTCACTACAACAATTATGGACTTTAATGACACATTTTTCAGTGACCAAGTTATTTTTGTCATTAATGATACATTTTTAACGATGACATGTGAATTTGTTATTAATGGTCCAAGATGTGTGACGATAATACTATATGTCACAAAAAGTTAATTTTTAGTGATGAATAATTGTTTGTCATTATAACTTCGTCACTGAAAGTGTGAGAAATTAGATAAATAGTGATGAATTTTATTTGATTTGTGCAAGATACCTAAGACGGCTATAGTTTATGAGAGAGATGGATGAAGACTGGAGAGACCAGTGGCAGCCCAACACATTTTAGAGGCCAAAATAAAAATGATAAATGAGATCTTTTTATTTTAATATTAATATTAAATCTAATTTTTAATTTTTTTAAATATAAAATATTAATTAAAATTTTATATTCAAGCTTTTGTTACCATATTTGAACTTGATGGTAATAGAGAAAGAATTATTCAATAATTTTGATTATACGATTAAACTTAACTTCTTTTAGGGTTAAGATTAGATTTTTTAGTAGTTTTAGTTTTGATGTTTGCTTTTTGTCTTTTCATTTTTTAAAAAATAAATTTTAAGACTTTTTAATTTCACAATTGAATTAACACGTCCAATCTACTTAATTTGAAATCTTCTGTTTGGGCATGGATTTAAATTTTTTATTTGGACCATTACTCCACACCTATAATTATGGGTCTTCCTTGACGTAAGGCCTTAATTTTTTTTTTTTTTTTGATTTAGTTTGTGTTTTTATAAGATCTTTTTGTAAGGCTTACAGTATTTATAGATTTAATTTTTTTATATGGACTATTTATAACATCTAAGAATTTGGGGTCTTTTTTAAAAATGAGACCTAATACCGAAACTTTTTCAACAACAATATCGACCCACCCCTCGGAAAGACCAACTTTCGACGATTCAATTCAACGGGTGCCTGTGGAGAAGCACGATGAGGAATGAGCAATGTATGGACACAACTGTTGTGGTTATTTAATCGAGTCTATCAAGTTTTGGTATACTTAGAACAATGCTTGTTGAATTTAATTTGTTAACTTAATTAATTATAATTATTGAATTGAGAGTGGATCTTCATATTTCTTAGGATTCACAACCAATCTAATGGTTGTGATGAATTAGATTTACTAATTATAACAATAAATTATATGCAAATCACATTTTTGGGTATTCTTAAGTTTTCCTTGTCCCCCCAAGTAGTTTAGTTTTGGTATGCGTATGTTCAAATCGACTAATCTCATTTTGTTACTAAGACTTAATCCACAAACCCGTTGGTTTAGTATTAGATGCCTTACCATTAAACCAATGGTTTTTCCAAGATCTGTTTGTGTCATTTTTTCACCACCACTATGAATTTATATATTAAGTTTGATCCTATCAATTGTGTTATCATGATCTGAACTAGGCATCTATGATGGGTTAACCCAATTAGAAAATG